GCTCTTCAGCTCAAGGGGAGCGCTCTACCCCTTGAGCCACAGCGCCACTTACTGTTTTCTAGAGGTTTATTGGAGCGCCGCCGGCCGCACTTCCGCGTCGCGCAGCGAGCCGACTGGGAACATCGACGCCAGAGACTGCAGCCACGAGGCGGGCGGGGTGAGAAGCGCCCTTGGCGCGGCCCGGCGCTCGCGTGCGTGGGGGGCCGCGCCACATGGTACGATACGTGACGATCTCCCGCCGGACGCTGGGCTCGCGTATGCGCCTGGCGTTTCGGAGCTCAGGTCCTGGGTTCCAAATCTCCACGGGAAAACGGCGCCGACGTCGCTTTGCTAAGGAACGAACGGGTGCAACGTTTTGACACCTGTGCAACCATCGCTCCTAGCATGTAATTTCGGGTCACATTGAGGGAAGACCGCGAGTTTAATAAGGAGAGCGAGGAAAGGAGTTGTGAAGCAGTGGGGGACTTTGTAAACAAAGGACCTGTGATTCGTTAGGTGCAGACTTGGGGGGCGGGGAAAACAGGTGGGAAGAGCAGGTGATATTTTCTCTTTGCTCTTTGTGGGACAGCCTTTGGCTAGTTTGTGGAGCCCCTTTCCGCAGGGCCCCGCCTTCCCGCTGCGTCCGGGACCCAGTCAGTCGCTGTGAGCCCTCACAAAGTTGGGCGGGGGATGTTCCAAGATTATAGAGAAGACGTGAGAGGGGAACGTTTGCCTGGCCTTCCGAACCCGGGGGGGCGCCGCGTGCCCCAGGCAAAAGAGTGGAGGCGGGGACTGTGGAGGGAACCTTGGTGTGGGGACCTCGGGAGACCCCCAAGTGTGCACTGCTTTTGAGCGCGGCTGGCGTCCTGGGCCGCGCCGCGCCGCGCCTCCCCGAGCGTGTCGTCCTGGGGCTCTGCGCCCAGTAAGCGGCCGGCTCCGCTCCTTTCTTTTGAAAAGAGCACGACGCCGCTGCCAGGCGGCGCGGAAGGTGCTGGGCCGGCGAAACGGCCTCTGGGAAGGGGGGTGGCGGGCGGGCTGGTCTCCAAGGTAACGGAGGGCGCCGGGTCCAGCCCGCGGTGCGATCACCGACTTCGGGCTGGCTGCACGTGACCTGTCCGGCTTCTTTCCCCCGGAAGAGCTTTCCTCGCGGCTTTTTTTTTTTTCTTTCACGTGGTTCTTGGCCAGCTGTGCTCTGCAGTTGCAAAGCGGTGATTTGGGGCCCTTGAGGGTCGACGGCGACTGCCCTTCTGGCGCTTTGCACGGGTATGAAATCTGCAGTAGTCTTTATTGCAGTTGTCAAGTGCTGTTTCCAGCAGTTGTGAGTGTTAGGTCCATTTAACTAAAACACAAGCTATGCCTAGAGGAAATGTGCTCTAGGTACTTTGGCACACTTTAAATTTGACAGCTTTCCGATTTTACCATAAAAAGATTCCTCTTAGTAACTTTTAGGACTGAGAGTTTGCTAGCCTGGGGTTGTAGTCCTCGATTGGAACCTTATTCCTTTTTTTTTGGTCCGGTCGTGGGGCCTGAACTCTGGGCCTAGGCACTATCCCTCAGCTCTTCAGCTCAAGGCTAGCGCTCTACCACCTGAGCCACAGCACCACTTCCGGCTTTTTTTCTTTTTGCTTATGTGGTGCTAAGGAATCAAACCCAGGGCCTCATGCATGCAAGGCAAGCACTCTACCACTGAGCCACCTTCCCAGCTCCTTCAGTAATATTATTTAAAGCTGGGCACCAGTGGCTTACCTGTAATTGTAGCTATTCAGGAGGTTGAGGTCTGAGGATCACAGTTCAAAGCCAGCCTGGCAGAAAAGTAGATGAGACTCATCTCCAATTACCAGAAAACTGGAAGTGGTGCAGTGCCTCAAAGTGGTAGAGCACTAGCCTTGAGCAAAAGAGCTCAGGAACAATGCCCAGGGCCAGAGTTCAAGCCCCAGGACCAACACCAAAAATTAATTTTTAGCTGTATATAGTGACCCATTCTCAGCATCTAGCAGGTTGAGGCAGGAAAATCTCAAGTCCACAGTGAGCCTGGGCTCCATAATGAGATCTTGTCTGAAAAAAAAGTAAACTTAAATAAGCTGGACACCAGTGGTTTATGCTTGTAATTCTAGCTCTCAGAAGGCTGAGCAGTTTGAGGACTGAGATTTGAATCCAGACTTGGCAGAAGAATTTGAGACTTTTTTTTTGCTGGTCCTGGGACTTGAACTCAGAATCAGGGGGTGTTATTTCACTCTCTTTGTGCTCAAGGTTAGTGCTCTACCCCTTAAGCTACAGCACCACTTCCAGCTTTTTCTGAGTTGATTAATGGAGATAATAATCTCATAGACTTTTCTTCCTGGGCTGACTTGAATTGTGATTCTCAGGACTCAGCCTCCTAAGTAGCTATGATTATAGGCGTGAGCTACCAATGCCTTTGAGTCTTTTTTTAAAAATTTTTTTTATTGTGAAAATACTGTCTTTTTTTTTTTTTTTTTTTTTTGGTCGGTCATGGGGCTTGAACTCTGGGCCTGGGCGCTGACCCTCAGCTCTTCATCTCAAGGCTAGTGCTCTACCGCTTGAGCCATAGCACCACTTCCGGTTTTCTGGTGGTTTTATTGGAGATAGGAGTCTCACGGTCTCTCCTGCCCGGGCTGGCTTTGAACCACAATCCTCAGATCTCAGTCTCCCGAATAGCTAGGATTACAGGCATGAGCCACTGGCTCCCAGCCCTTTGAGTCTTTTATATCCATTTGATCAGCAAAAAGCTAAAGGTGGAGCTGTGCATCAAGGGGTAGAACCCTAGTCTTGAGTATAAAAGCTAAAGGACAGTACCCAGGCTTAAGTTCAAGCTTCAATACTGCTCTCTCCCCCCAAATATATAATATTATGTATGTATGTATGTATGTATGTATGTACATATATATATCTATCAGTGCCATATAAAGAGGTGATTCTGCCCGGTGCCATTGGGTACTCAGGAGACTAAGAATTGAGGATCGTGGTTCGAAGCCAGCCAGGGCAGAAAAGTCACCATGAGGCTCTTAGTGCCAATTAATTGCTAGGAAAACTCAAGTAGAGCTGTAGCTCAAAGTGGTAGAACACTAGTCTTGAGCAAAAGAGCTCAGAACAGTGCCCAAGCCCTTAATCCAAGCCCCACAACCAAAAGAAAAAAGTGATTCTATTGACTTTTTTGGAATAGAAGTAGAAAGAAAAATTCTTTTAACTCATCTCAAATGAGATCCTTTTTAAAATACCAATTATCTCTTTAAATCTTAATGCTTTTATATTGTTTTTCTAAAATAAATGTAGTTTTACTTTTTGTGTGAGTTTACTGGAATTACAGTGAAGTTTTATAGGTCTTGGATAGGAAAAACTTAATTGGATTAAAGTTAACTTAAAAAATTATAGGAGTAGCTGGGCACTGGTGTGTCATGCCAGTGTAGGCAGAAAAGTGCTTGAGACCCTTATCTCCAGTTAGCCACCAAAAAGGCAGAAGTGGAGCTGTGGCTCAAGAGTAGAGCACCAGCCTTGAGCAAAAAAGCTAAGGAACAGAGTCCTGGCCCTGAGTTCAAGCCTCCGTACTGGCACCAACAATAAATGGATAGATAAATTAATAAGTCAGTAGATAAATTCCTGATACTTCAGAATGGATGCCCTTACAGAGCAAGGGTATATGCAGTGTCTTAGAAGGATTTAGGAATATTGTTGGGATGATAACATTCTATTTTTGTTTATAGAATATTCACTTGATTAAAATATTTTTGTTTCTTGCTTGTTTTTAGAATGCAAAGGCTATTGTAATTATGTGCTAACTACAATTACTACTGAATTTTTCACTGGAATCATGGAAGAGAAACAGATTATATTGGCTAATCAAGATGGTGGGACAATGACAGGAGCAGCACCTACCTTCTTTGTCATCCTAAAACAGCCTGGAAATGGCAAAACTGATCAAGGAATTTTGGTTACTAATCAAGATGCCTGTACTTTGGCTAATAAAGTGCCATCACCAGGAAAATCTAAAGGCAAGATTTGCCTTCCAGCTGATTGTACTGTGGGAAGAATCACTGTTACCCTTGATAACAATAGTATGTGGAATGAGTTCCATAATAGAAGCACAGAAATGATTCTGACCAAGCAGGGAAGGCGCATGTTTCCTTATTGTCGCTACTGGATAACAGGTTTAGATTCAAATTTAAAATACATTCTTGTCATGGATATCTCTCCTGTGGATAACCATCGTTATAAGTGGAATGGACGTTGGTGGGAACCCAGTGGGAAAGCTGAACCTCATATTTTGGGGAGAGTTTTCATTCATCCAGAATCCCCTTCCACAGGTCATTATTGGATGCATCAACCAGTATCTTTCTATAAACTTAAACTTACCAACAATACATTGGACCAAGAAGGGCATATTATCTTGCACTCTATGCATCGTTATATGCCAAGGCTTCATTTGGTGCCTGCAGAAAAGGCTACAGAAGTGATACAATTAAATGGTCCTGGTGTCCACACTTTTACCTTCCCACAGACAGAATTCTTTGCAGTAACAGCTTATCAGAACATTCAGATTACTCAGTTGAAAATAGATTATAATCCATTTGCCAAAGGTTTTCGGGATGATGGTCTGAATAGTAAGCCCCAAAGAGATGGAAAACAAAAGAACAATTCTGACCAAGAAGGAAATAGTGTTCCTAGTTCTCCTGGTCATCGGGTTCATCTTAAAGAAGGTGAGGGGTCAGAGATACCGCGAAGTGATATTGATTCTATGTCAAGAGGTCATGAAACATCAGGCATAGGTTTGGAACAACCTCCCCTTAATATAAAACAAGACATCCTTGGTTTTATGGATACTGATTCAACACTTGACGTTCCTCAACTAAAGCAAGAGATTTCTGAAAGGTAGGTAATAATACTTTTGTTCTTAATAAAAAAGGTCTGATTTTGGACTTAACACGTTACTTCTATAGAATACTGTAGATGTTTATAAGTGTAAGCTGCTGTTGGTCGTGGGGCTTGAACAGCTTGGGCGCTGTCCCTGAGTTCTTTTTGCTCAAGACTAGTGCTGTACCATGTTTTGCCAATGCTCTACTTCCAGTTTTTGAATAGTTAATTGGCATTAAGAGTGTCTGATGACTTTTCTGCTCTGGCTGGCTTTGAACCATGATCCTCAGTTCTCAGCTTCTTGAGTAGCTAGGATTACAGATGTGAGCTACAGGCAACCGATGAGAGATAATACTTTCAATAAAAAAAGAAGCCAGCCGGGCGCTGGTGGCTCACGCCTGTAATCCTAGCTACTCAGGAGGCTGAGATCTGAGGATCTTGGTTCAAAGAACCCCATGCAAGAAAGTCTGTGAGGTTATTTCCAATTAACCATCAGAAAACTGGAAGTGGGGCTGTGGTTCAAGTGGTAGAGTGCTTACCTTGAGCTGAAGAGCTGAGGGACAGCGTCCAGGCCCCAGAATTCAAGACCTACAACCAACAAAAGAAAAACAAAACACAAAATAGAGCCAGGTAATCCTAGCTACTCAGGAGGCTGAGATCTGAGGATCCAGATTCAAAGCCAGCCTGGGCAGGAAAGTCTGTGAGATTTATCTCCATTTAACCACCAGAAAACTGGAAGTGGTGCTGTGGCTCAAGTAGTAGAGTGCTTGCCTTGAGCTGAAGAGTTCAGGGTCAGCACCCAGGCCCAGAATTCAAGCCCCATGTTGGACAAAAACCCCAAAACCAAACCAAAGTAAACTCATTCTCTATAACTGAACATTTGTTACTCTTTGATGAATATCTAATTTCCCCTACCCTGACAATGATCTTTTTTTTGTTGTTGTTGTTTCTTTGTTAGTTCTGTGGACTGAACTTGGACTGGGTACTGTCTCTGAGCTGCTGTTGCTGCTACTTCAATTTTTATTTTTCTGGTCATGGAGCTTGAATGTAGAATCTGAGTGCTGTTCCTGAGTCTGTTTGTGTTCAAAGTTAGCACTCTTAACACTTGAGCCATAGTGCTTCCTCTGGCTTTTTCTGTGACTACTTGGAGATAAGAGTCTCATAGACGGGGCTGGGAAGGTGGCTCAGTGGTAGAGTGCTTGCCTTGCATGCATGAGGCCCTGGGTTTGATTCCTTAGCACCACATAAGCAAAAAGAAAAAAGCTGGAAATGGCGTTGTGGCTGAAGTGGTAGAGCGCTAGCCTTGAGCTGAAGAGCTGAGGGACAGCGCCCAGGCCCTGAGTTCAGGCCCCACAACCGGACCCAAAAAAAAGTCTCATAGACTTTTCTTCCCACTCTGGGCTTTGAACCGTGATTCTCAGATCTCAGCCTACTGAGTAACTAGGATTTTAGGTGTGAGCCACCAGGACCTGGCTGCAACCATCATTTTTTTTTTTTGCCAGTCCTGAGTTTTAAACTCGGCCTGGGTACTGTCACTGAGCTGCTCAAGGCTAGCACTGTACCACTTGAGCCACAGCACCACATTGGCTTTTTCTTTTTATGTGGTATTGAGGAATTGGACCTAGGGCTTCATGCATGCTAGGCAAGCACTCTACCATTAAGCCACATTCCCAGCCTGCAACCATAATTCTTTTACTATATATATATATATTTTTTTACAATATATTTTTACAATATATCATCTTTTACAAAATATTTTGCAATATTTGTCCTTAATGTCCTGTACATTTTAACTGTTTTGTCACACCTGACCAGATTATAAATATACATATATATTACAAACTTGCAGTGAAATATTATTCAGATATACTTTTTTTTTTTTTTTGGTTGGTCATGGGGCTTAAACTCTGGGCCTGAGTGCTATCCCTCAGCTCTTCAGCTCAAGGCTAGCGCTCTACCACTTGAGCTACAGCGCCACTTTTGGTTTTCTGGTGGTTTATTGGAGATAAGAGTTTCATGGACTTTCCTGCCCTGGCAAATCTCAGATCTCAGCCTCCTGAGTAGCTAGGATTACAGGCGTGAGCCACAGCACCTGGCTCAGATATACTAATTTTTATTCAGGTTATAATACAAAATATTGGCCAATAATATAAGTATATATGTATATATAAATATACACAAATACAAGTTGAATATCTCTGAATAGTTTGTGACAAGTGTTACATCATTTTCTGCTTTTGGAATATTTAAAAAGTTCTAAAGCCAGTTCGGGCAGACAAATCTGAGAAACTCTTACCTTCTTCAGCTATTTTATTTATTTATTTATTTATTTTTGTCTGTCGTGGGGCTTGAACTCTGGGCCTGGGCGCTGTCCCTCAGCTCTTCAGCTCAAAGCGAGCACTCTACCACTTGAGCTACAGCGCCACTTCCGGTTTTCTGGTGGTTTATTGGAGATAGGAGTCTCATGGCTTCTCCTGCCCGGGCTGG